ATACATATCCGATCACTGAGACGTCTATATTATCTGGCAGAATACTTGAATAGTGAGTCAGAAATTAAACTGGAATATTAAAACAAAACCACATAACTACTTTAATATACAATACAAATTAATGAAAAACTTACAGTAAAAGATCAATCGAATTGAGTTAGGTGTGTCATATTAAATCAAGTGCGTCGTTCTCATAACGTTAACGCAAAGGGTTAAATTTTTTTTAAAGCATTCTAGAGCCTATAAAAGCGAAAAAACCAGAGCTGGAAAAACGTCGCAGTTTGCGCCCGATAGAAATGGAAATAGCGACGTCTCTCTACGGGGATATCCATTCACATTGATTATCGGGCGCACGATGAACAGATAAGTCTCCCTCTCGTTGAAACGGTAATTTAATTATTCCCCAGTCGCTTCTCCATTTCCACAGCGCGCTTTCGGATTCCGTTTTCCTCACATCCATGCCCGCGACACGTCGTCACGTTATCACGACCGCTGCCGGCTGCCGACGATAATGAGCTCGCGGGTGTCTACCCACCAGGCGATCCACGACGATGTCGGATAATACCGCGGATACGCGTGCGAAGCGAGAATACGGAGAGGCTACGGAGAGTCCATCCGGCGTTCCGGATATTCCGATCGCGGGACGTATTGGCACACGATAATCCAACAGCAGCTGGCAAGCAGTTGTAGCCAAGTCAATTGACTTAACTGCCATACGTATATCTCCCGTGTAGCGGGAGTTTATATGTGACGCGACAGTTTTGTTCTACAAAAGAATGTTCCACTATATCGTTCGACAAGAGTCGTTATCAGAGCGCACGCGGCGAATGCCCAGTCTTTTGAGGTTTTTCTTTGAGTGACGGGGCGCCTTTGCATGCATGATTGAAAGATTGAGATAAGCGTTTTTTTTTTTTATGTTATGTCATTCGATTTGAATTTTAGATATATAACCCGTCAGAAAACTCCTGTGTTATCTCGCAATAAATACTTGGGAAACTAATGATCATAAAACTTAAAATATTACTTATATTGTTAGACCGTATTCATAAACGGTTCTTATTTTAAATCCGGTTTAAGTAATGTTTTAAAATGCGAATGTAACTCTGTGATTAGTTCACGATGTCTTAAGACTACTCTCTACATTCTTTGAAGTGGAATCTCACTCTAAAAAGTGAAATTAAGCGAACCTTAAAAAAGAATGGCTCAATTTTCAATCTTTAAAAGTATTATAAGATTTCACTCTAAAAATTTTAGAGAGTATACTTAACCATCTAGACACGGCATCGTCTTGTCAAGAGAAACTTTTTCTCACTACTTTTGCTAGAAAAAATGCGCAAATGAAAATTATCGATTGCGATGAAAAAAAGGTCTGCTCATACAAACATTTCTGAACAGCTAAATAAGATTTTGTTTCGGCAACCGCCATTTAGTGGCAACAAATTAAACTGTCATATTACTAAAAATATAGAGGCGGCTGATGCAATGCGCAGAACGATATGAAAACGTGTCCTCGGTATAAGCACACCTTACTTTCTTTCCATCATGACATCAATATTTACACTATTGATATGTATCAATATATAACCTTTCTGGCGGTTAGAAGTATTATATTTCAATATTCAATGCTACATATATTTCTATCTTTAAATGTAACCTGCACAGATCACAATTTTTTCCGAATTTAATTTAAAAATAAACGTCAAAAATACAATACATGGCTGTCACAAATTCTTTATCGCAAAATTCTATAACTTTTC